TGTCACAGCGTCACGCATCGACAAACGGTTCTAAAAATTCGAGTCTTTAACCAAATACCTTCGTTTTTATATCGAAAGTAGAGTATGGCGAGCTGCGTCGAATGGCGCAAGAATGAAGCTTCTACCTCATACAGTTTTTGAGAAAAGCTCAATTTACTGTGTCGAAAATGTCACAGCGTCACGCTTGGACAAGCCCATTTAGAAAAAGTTTTAAAAATCTAGCAAAAAGCGAGTTTTACGAAAATTTGGGTTTTTAGACTGTCTTTACCTAATATTAAAAAATTCACTATTCACTCAAAAAACATCACAACAAGTTGAAAACTTCAGACTGTAGAGTATTGAAGCTCTTCTGTATCCTTTTTATAGAAGATCTGGAAACAAATTTGACAAAATTCTAAGGTTTCCCGAAAGGGTTTCTAGAAAACCTATTAAGACTACTATACTTTTTCGATCTCATAATCATGTTTAGCGGACAAAATTAACCAGATTCTGAAGATTTGAATCTGTTGTGATATTTTTTGAGTGGATAGTGAACTTTTTAATATTAGGTGAAAACAGTCTGAAAACCCAAATTTTCGTAAAACTCGCTTTTTGCTGGATTTTTAAAATTTTTTCGAAAAGCAAATATTGTCACAAGACTCAGCATGATTAATTACCTATAATTCATCCGTCTTTAAGACTACCAATAGTCACCGGGTGCCAGTCTCAGAGCTCGTAGAAAATTCGATACAACGCCCGAAGCGCGCAAAATCAATGTCTTGCCTGACTCTCGTTTTGAAGAAGAGATTCCATGAAAATAAATCGATACAATCCTATAGAAAAACTTCTACACACAACCTTTTCAAAGATCTCCTAGAAAACCTGTTTTAAAAAGCTCTTGGGAAAGTTATTTTGCATGCGAAACCATGTCTCCTCTTTCGTATGGTGAAAATCAGAGCTCTTTCGCTGTTTTCTATCAAAAGTTACTGAAAAAACAGTCAAGAGTTCTTATATTTTGAAATGGATAATAGTCTTTATTTCTCTAATTTTTTTTTGTGATGACGAATTTACTGCGTAAATGTGAAAGACTATTGTGAAAATACTACACAAAGATATCAAAGTTCATTTGAAACGTAGTTAATCACTTAACTTACTGGGAAGTTTTATGATGGGTAGAATATCTTGAAATAATTGAGCCATTTCATTATCATTTGACATTAACGGTTTCTCATCTAATTTAACCCACTTAACTGACATTGGTGCTGTCGATCGACATGGAATAAATGGTCGATCAGTCATATCAAATACATCATCTTCTCTTGTTATTATAACAAATAATTTCCATACATCTCTCAATTGATCTTGAGTTAATTCATTTAATTTAATAAAATAGTTTAACACAGGTATAAAATCTTTCACTAATGGATGTAAATCAATATGAAATGTATTTGTAAACAACGTTTGTAATTCAACATCATTTTTATAATGCATTTGTAACGATTGACGTTCTTCCTGAGAATATTTATTCAATAATGTTGTTTCATCTGACCAATAGAATTGATGAGAAAATAGAAATTCACTACCATTAAAGATAATGGGCCATTCAATAAATCTACTGAGATATTCCTGTCCAATATATTTATATATTTTACTTAGATTTTGACAAAGATCAGCAAATGAGCAACGAGCAGATAATGAAGGACACGGAATGAACGTATGACGAACGACAAATGACTCTAGCTCTTCTTTGGGTAACTGAGTGGCCCAATGTAACAATAATACGAGCATATCACTTTGTTTCACATTCTGTTTAAATTCAAGAATATTAGTAATTAATTCTACCTCTGTTAATGAAATTTTAGTAGAGTCAAGATGTGGGAAATATTGTTGAAGAAAATTATCCATTTGGAAAAGATAAACATCTCTTGGCTGTCTCATTTCAATTTCTTGTATTATTGTACTATTTTCACGTTTCATTACGATAGCCGGTATCCATTCACAACGTTTTACATCAAGACAAAATGTCGATTCAATTGCCAATAAAGGCACATGATTACGCGTTAATTGAATTTGAGCAGCAAAATAATGATTAATTGTTCGCCACAATTTATTCAATAGCTTTAGAATATTGTAAGATAGAAAAGGATCTTTTCTTTTGTCAAAAAGAGAGTGAAACTCAGGACATGTATTATCTTTGATGGTGAACAATTCTCGATCATATCCAATGGCTGCTTTTAAATCCATCTGGCAATGAGACCAGACAGTTGATTGTAATTCGTGTATCGACGCATATTCTACAAAAAGGCAGTGAAACAGGCTGCAATAATTTTAGCACTATAAATGGTGGGTAATGTAGTAGACTTTTGTCCAATCAACAATCAAAATCTTTCCACGTATCAATCCCTTGAGACTGGTCACAATAATCGTAACGGAATCACGTTTTTTCCACTTCTGACTGTAATTTCTTAGTCAGTTTAAAGGATATGATGCTTAAATTCTTACCAAATCTATCTAATCACGTGCTCGACAATCTCTAAAATTTGAATGTTTTGTTCAAGTTTTATAAGAAAAATATGGGCTAGTACGAAATCACCAAAAATGTAACAGTCATTGAAACAATTTAGAGTTGTCAAAAACTTAGTTAATCTTCATTCTTTATGTGCAAACTTTTGCTAGCAATGTTGTAGAAAAGATTATGGGCTAGATTGAAAAAAATCTTTTTATAGCTCCGAAATTAACACTTAAGGAGATAAAATAGGATCGTTACGGAATCACGCGTTTTACAAATAACTATGTTTTCGTAGTACGATGTTTTTCCCTCAAGCATTATTGCATTGCTCGACTTCAAATTTTATCTTGAAATGCTAGTCAAAACATTATCTGGGCCATTCCACGCAACGGTCGCCTTTTATGTCTAAGTCTTGAAACGAACGTGTTTTCATTCAGCTTTTTCTTTTATTTGTTGCCATAGTTTTTAGGTTTTGACCATATGATTAAATAGAGAAATTTTTTGAGCAGTAATCTCATTTTTCATTTAACTCTCGCTCATGTATGAGGGAAAAACATCGTACAACGAAAACATAGCTATTTGTAAAACGCGTGATTCCGTAACGATCCTATTTTATCTC